CAAAATGCAATTCATAACATAAACATAGGAAATACATTAAGGATTTTAACATAAATCAAACATTACAAATCAACGTCCGCTTGGACGTTGCAACATTATGATATCGACCAATCTTGAAATAGTCGCATCTAGCTCGATCGAAAATTTCTCCTCAAAACTGGTAAAACTATTTCACATAGCCCGTATATCAGTGTCGGTCTTCAGCCCACGCTTGTTAAACACAAGCTTCCCATCTTTGTCAACAGATGGAGAGAGATACTCGATCTTCACAACTTTGCGATTGTCGCCATAGGTGGTATAGGGCATCCCAGTTTCAAATACACTTGAACAAAATGCCGCATATTTGAAACTCATCCAACACACATGATACGATCATTGGGATTTGGTGTTGGAGCAGTGCGCAGAGGGAAAAAGTCTCTGAGAATCTGTATCTTGTAAGATTAATACACACTCTTTCATACGCACTTGCTATGAGATGGCCCATTTCAGGGAAGCACATCCATTTATCCTCTGGTGCAAATCCACTCACGCAAGATACAAGAGCGTTATATATATATATATATATATATATATATATATATATATATATATATATATATATATATATATATATATATATATATATATATATATATATATATATATATATATATATATATATATATATATATATATATATATATATATATATATATATATATATATATATATATATATATATCTTCAACTTTCTCTTTACTCTCGACAACACACGTGTGTATAAATCTCTATTGCCCCTAAACTCTCTGATAAGAGTATCGCGAACAAGTTGGTGATCCTCTTTCCCTACCGAGCAAACCAGAAACAGCTCGAAAATCACAGTTATCGTCACCCCCGACATTGACGATCCGTTCAATAAACTTGTGCATAAAAACTGACATGTGATCAATGAATGTTATTTTGGGTGGAGTCGGCGTAAGAGGTGGTTTGCTAATACGAGCACCTTAGAAAGAACTTTTCTGAGATTTCGAAGTAGGTGAATCAGAAAAAAATTTGTCAACATGTTCAAAATATGAAGGACTCATCGTAGTTAAACTGTCACCCGGTGTCGGTTTCACCTTCTTAGGTGCCCCTTTAGTTTTTATCGATTGAGGTGGTGGTTTCAAGTTTGTGGTCTTCAGGAACACAATTTTCCTCAATTGCTCTTTGATGTGGAGTTTGGTGGTGTCATCGGCTTTCAAAAATATTTCTGGTATCACTTCTCATTCATTCAAGATAGAAATACTTGATTTATCACTTTCATTTTATCGTCATCTTCAAAACTGAGTCTCTTTCAATTACTAGAGACCTCGTCCATACGTATTGGACAATCAACTTTCATCTTCTTAGATATGACACAAGCACAAGGGAGGCCATATGTTTTCACATTTGTACAACCACACTTTGAGCTGTCGAAATTGATATTATAAGCTCATTTGGCTTCGTGAAAAATATAATTTAGAGCTTCCAGAGACAAATTACGGACCAACTGAGAATATAGGGTGTTATCTTTGAACCTGTGTTCCATCACCGTGATACTACGGCCAAATGTTGTATGTATCTCGTTATGCTGGTTTAGTATCATATGGTTCACAGAATCTCAACCCGTAATCAAATCACCCTTGCTATTTCCCAACCAATTCTTCAAACAAGCATGAGCAGTCTCAACCCGGTTTGTTACTGTATTTCCAATATGCATAACCTCATCGGCCCATGAACAAACAATCTTCTCCTTTACCTAATCAAGTATTGTGTTTTCAACATATTTCAATAGATCGGGATATTTCACGCAAACATTCCTGAATTGTAAAACAACACCAGCGTATAGCTCTTTTATAGATGCATTTATTATAAGATTCCAAGAATCCATAATTTTCTCCACAATGACGCCCGCCTTGACCAGTTTTCCATCTTCACCTGCAATCTATTTTGTCCCCACCATGGGTTTAACCCGACTTCTCACATTTTTAGTAATATGTTACCTACAAAGTAAGGCGTAAGAAGTAGGAAACACAGTTGCAACCGAATTCATTAATGTTGTATCTCAGTCGGTAACAATGACTTTGGGAACATCTTCTTGATCCTTCAACATTGACCTACAAACCTCTAAAGCCCATGCAAAGTTGTCCTCTTTTTCGCACTCTAGAAATGCAAAACCAACAGAATACGCCTTCTCAGTCGACGTAACACCAACAATTTCCAACAATGGAAGTTTGTACTTGTTGGTCTTATACGTTGAATCAATTATGAGAACAGTGGGAAACATATTAAACAATTTAATGGAGTCAGGGTGAGTCCAATAAATATCTCTTACTGTTACCCCCATCATAACCTCGTCGGTGCCTACAAACATAATTGTTTTCATCTAAAAGTTTCAAGAGGTGTTGCATCTCGGTTTGATCCCCCTTAATCGCTAATTTGGATTGATAGTGCCTATTGTAAACTTGCTTGATATTTGATGTATTCCCGGGTCTTTTGCGCTTCAAGGTTGCAAGTATATTTTTGGGCGGTACCAAGTTCAAAGTCATGTCAGAAACACATGTCTTCTCATCCGAAAGGAGCTGACATGCAATTGGATGACCGATTAACTTTTGACTTAAATCATGGTTGTGTAAACCACATATCACATTAAATCTCCATTTGTTATTTGCCAAAAGATAACCACGCAACCTAAACGGACATTCACATTTTCTTGAACCAGTGTCGTCGCGTTTCAATTTTTGGATACGACATATATATTTCCCACTTCTTTCGTATGTCAAAGTCACAAATACATTTCTTCTATCCGTACCATTATCGGTCCTTCCAATCACAATATCAAATCTTAGTTTTGTAGCCTCTATACGAATTCACTGCAACATGTCTTCACGTAATTCAAACTCTTCTCCATTTTCAAAATGCACAAGAATATCTACCACCTTAGTTATGATATGAGATACGAGGTAAAACAACTTGAGACACATTAGGTTTGGGAATGTTATCGGGATGCACCATACCTAATGTTATAAAAAAAACATAAAATGAGCTCATTTTAATATGATGAACCACAAAAATGAAGATTTAGAGTGGAAAAATGGATTGAGAATGGAAGAATTTTTTAGAGGTTTTATGGAAAGAAGAAAAATTATTTGACCATACCTTAACTATGTGGTTACTGTTTTAAGCATTATGAATTTTCCATAATACCCGAAGTATACTTATGATTATATACGAAATGATAAGGTGGCAGAAAAAATCAATCTTCCCGCTCTAAAAATCGGAAACATAATACCGGTACAGAACCGGAAGTATATCTCCGATTTTTTTTTATTACATTTTGAAGGGTGAAACCACATTTAGCTTGTTTTTGTCAAATATATGATGCGAACCGGAAATGCATTTCCTGTTTTCGAGGGGGAATTTCGAAATTGCAAAGGGTCTTTCTTTTGTGTATAGAATGGAATAAGAAATTCCCTTAAATAAAACACCAGCAACTAGGATTGTTTAAAAAAACCATAAAATTGACCTGAACCGCCTAACCGAATTGGAATTATAATAACCGAACCATAATTAATAATTAGAACTGAACATATATTTTAGTAATGGTTCTAGAACGAACAATTAAGCAATTAACCAATTTCAAAGTAGTTCCGAACCGTTATCGATTTTTTTTTAAATAAAAAATGATTTTTTCGAAAATAAAAAAGTCAGTTTTATTCCGAAAATAAAAAAGTGTCAACTTTTTTCGAAAATAAAAATAAAAATCTGTTTTTTCCGAAGAAAAAAAAAGTTAGTTTTTTTCCAAAAAAAAGTCAATTTTTTTCGAAAATAAAAAAAAATGATTTTTTTGAAAATAAAAAAGTCATTTTATAGGAAAATAAACAAAAGTCAAATTTTTTTCTGAATAATCAATTTTTCATAAAATTGAAAAGTAGATTTTTTTCAAAAAAAAAAAAGTCAGATTTTTCCAAAAATAATTTTTTTAAATTTTTTTCCTAAAATTAGAAAAGTCGATTTTTTCGAAAAAGTGATTTTCCCAAAAATAAAATAAAATTATTTCAAAAGATAAAATGTTGATTTTTGGTGGAAAAAAAAAGAGACTTTTATCCAGAAAATAAATAAGTTGTTTTTTAGCGAAAATAAAAAAGACAATTTTTCCGAGAAAAATAAAATCGATTAGTTTCGAAAAATAAAAATATTGATTTTAGGCAGAAATAAAAAAAAGCAATTTTTTCTGAAAATAAAAAAAAGTAGATTTTTTCAAAAAAAAAAAGTTGATTTAATAAAATCATAACGTTTCGATTATTTAACAAATGATTCGATTTTGAAAAAAATTATCTTGTAATGATTTGGTACCGTTCAGAATTCCGAACCGTTATACCAAACCAAAACTTCTGGTGCAGTTCGGTTTTAAAAAAAATTAAACATTTCAGTTTGGTTCAAATGACCACGGTTTGGTTCGAATTCAATTTTCTAACAAAATTATACCATGAACAACCCTACCCGCAACTGTGAAACTTAAGGCTCTCAAAATGGTTATGACAAGATTAATTTCAATAACCATCTTACATAGGACCACTCAGATATAGGAATAAAAGACTGCATATTTATGTTATCTGCTTCTGCAAACCTTGATATAAACAAACCTCATCTATGGCTAGTAACCCAGATTTCCCATCCTGCATTGTTTTGTTTCTCTAATTATCAAAAACATAGTAACATTCATCATTACGTAGAATCATAATCCTAATACAATTTTGGATAATAAAGATAAATAAATTTTATTCATCATGTTCAGTAAATTTGGTTCAGTGAACACATTCAAAATCGGTGGCTTAAACCAAAGTACAACCAATCAAAACCAGTCAGCCAGCAAGTTTGCCCAATAATCAAAATGTAAGAACCAAATGAACCAAATGAACAGATATGGAACACAATAATCAAAATATGTCTGATTGTCCCACTAGAAACACACCAATGCAGCTTTCTCAAGTATCAAAACCTTAATCTTCATCGGAACTGCTATCTTCGGAAACCTTTTCATTGTTATCTGATTCATTTTTACCCTGCAGTTGAGCCACACAATGAGTGCAAGTAGCTGGATCATAACATAAGTAACTTCAAAAGATACTTACTGGCATGTTTTTGTCCCAATCTTTTATTCTTGAGCTTGTCAGCATATAATTATCTCGTAATGGAGCCCAAGAAGGTTGTTCATCTTCTCCATTGCTTGTGCTTGCATTGGCCTGTAAATCCAAAATCCAAGAGATTTGATAGTTAAGCAACAAATGGAAGCTTTCTCATTTAAGAAACACTTGCAGCAGTTTATACAAAGAAAATTAGTATTGTATTAAACATAGTAGTGCAGATCTATAACATCTATCTTATTGTTTTACTCCTTTGATGATGGCAGTGTGTACTAAAAACATCAAACCACTGAAGCTCTGGTTCAAAAGTTTAACCAGTTTGCCAATTTGTCTGATAAGATAAAATGGAATAATTTTGAAGTACAAGACCTAAAATAATAATAGTATATCAAATTTAAACATGTTTCATCTTAAACTAATTTATAGGTCATACACTAATGGTTCTAAAGAGAAAATAGACACTAATGGATACAATTTTATGAATTAGGATTTCAAAATAGAAATTTGAATTTGTTCCAGCTCTCAATTTCTTACATTGCTAGGAACAAAGATAACCAAAGTGTATATAAGTTGTAAATGCTCAAGTCTAAATAGAGTAAACACTTTGTAGTTGGGCATTCTCAACTTATACATTTTGGTTCTCGTTGTTCCATTCAATGCAGAGCTCTTATCGTTCATCAGAATTTAGCAGACGCATCGCTGACCAGTTCTAACTCAAACTATAGTTTAAAACCGTGTTTCAAATTATCAAATTGCCGACAAAATAGGATTAACAGTGAAAAACTGACTGAAAGAACCAGTTGTAATAATCACCTTAACAGCAGAGGTGCCAATTGCTGGCTTCCCTAACTCCGAAAAGAAGGCTTCCTTGGTGCGTTTTCTTAACTCTGCCACATGTTGAATATATGCCATTAGGAACCACATTAGTAAAACAGATAGGTATTGACTAGATTAAAAAGGTAAACAGAGAGATCTCTGACAGCGATGGATCCATTTGAGGGAGTAGTATGGTTCCAAGTTACAACTTACAACTACTCCTATTTTTCAACGGTTATATATATACAAATTAGATTAATGGTTAACTCTTTCCTCTAATACTTAGAGCATGATATCGCAAACAAGTAGTTCGCATGGTTGTCATAGCAGTTGAAAGAAATCAATAATATATAAACAATGGTATGCTGCATAAAAAAAGTGCATTGAGATTTGAGAGGTTTAAAAAAGGTAATGTGCGGCTAACATGCTGCCTCTCTTTCAGTAAAGAAGTTACAACTGCTATGGCCAAAGGCCCTAATAGAGAAACAGGGATAGCATAGCGCTTTTCATTTATGGATTCTTCAAAATCCCCTACACTATAAAGCTATAACACCACTATTTGATAACATTGACAAAATCAATAAAACTACGCTTGTTTGGTCAAAAAACTTGTGTTAAATTTCCCTGATATATACCGAAACAAATAATCCCCCAAATGAGGTTTCTTTTTCTTTATTTGATTCAATTATTCTGCAAGTGGACAACTAACTTGAATCTTCCTAATGTCTCACATTTTGTTATAGCAGCATAAAACAACTTACCTTTGGCATCCCTATTCTTTGAGGGATCCAGCCCTTTCTGAGCAACTTGTGCCTTGTTGACCTGAAACAGGTGTAACAGACCCATTGATTTAGTAATGCTAAAGCAACAAATAGACAGAAGTCGAAAATTAGAAGGAAACAAAATTTGATTGTATGCTAAGACAGACTTACAGCGTTGAACAACTTGACCACTGAAAGAAATCGAAAGCAGTCCATGTTCACAACAACAGTCAAATTAGTAAAGAGGAAACGGAAGTCACTAATAAAAATAAAGGAAAATGCTATATATGTTACAACACTATTTTTCGTCGAAACCACACGACCGTGTATTCAACAATAAACATGTTATATATTTACTTATTTACTGTAATTAATATTTGGTTTAAAGAAAGCATGTAAAGCGCATACACAATCGTTACTTTCGTCAGTGACATATTTCACACACTATAGCATTGCTCAAAAATAAAATAGACCTATATTTAAAAGAAAATGTAGTTTAGTTACCTCCTTTGGTCGCTACACTTATTAGAAACTTTTCGTGCGAATCCAAATAAGAAGCAGGCTTGACATGTCCCTTTTCTGCTATCTGAAACAAGCAATAAGATAGAAATTGTCAGATTGACTACCAGATAGATAATATTTTGAGCTATGAAAATTGGAGATACACATAAATCTTAGTACTAATTGGGATATCATTAAGATCAGTCAACTTGAAATTTAAAATTACCATCAGCTTTTCCTTTTTTGCCTCTCCCTTGAGATACACATAAATCTTAGTACTAATTGGGATATCATTAAAATCAGTCAGTCAATTGAAATTTAAAATTACCATCAGCTTTTCCTTTTTTGCCTCTCCCTTGACCTTGCGCTCTGCCTCCTCTTCCGCGAGCTTTTCTATAACAAGATTCTTTTGTGCTGACAATACTGGACCCTGTAGAGATGTCCAAGTTTAAGAATACCAATTTTATAATTCTCTAAGAAACATTAGAATATCGCATGATCACCTAGCTTACCAACAAGTCATCAGAAACACTTTTCTTTATAATACTCTTGAAGGCCATCTTGAATGCTTTACAACCTTCAGTGAACTTAGTAATTCCAGGCTGAATTTCATCACCATCTTCTCCTTCATCCTCGGAGAAACTAACTTTTTTATCAGTAACATTCCTCTTCTGCGTTCTTTGTCCTCCTGCTGCTCCTTCATCTTCAGACAGCTCTTCACCTTCTATGTCTTCCTCCTCGTGCTTTTTTTTGGTGAAAGATACTACACCTCTAGTCTTCATAGAAGGCGCACCTCTAGTCCTCACAGAAGCAGGGGCAGCTGTCTCATCTTCATCATCAGAATTATACTCTCGTGCTCGCTTGTGGTAAAGTTTCTTCATTTTTGGATCGATTTTAACTTTCTTCTGTCCCCGTTGTTGCTGCATCACTTTTGGTTTCTTATTTGACTTTTTGCGCCCTTGGTTCCTGCCAAACTTCCTCTTTCCCAAGCCTCTTCCAGATTCAACCACTTGTGTTTCTTCAGCCATTGAATTGTTTTATAATTCAACCTACATGTCACACATTAAGATATGTCATCAGCTGAGCAATTAAATATATGCAAAATGATGATTTTTAAAGAAATAAGAGAAAATAAACAATTATTCCAGATGTCCCATATCAATGCAGAATTGTAGGAAACAATCTAACCTATGAAAATAGAAACAGGATTTAACGGAAAGAGACAAATTTTTAACTGATATCTGAATTCATACTTTGAACCTAATACATCAATTTTTGCTGACCCAACTTTCTCTTATATTTAGGACCAGAGAGAGTAATCATAATTAGAGATTATCCTTGCCTTTCTCTATTACTTACAAAATTTACCAATCATGCTAAGTTTATGTTAATAGTGAAATTTCAAGCTGATAAAACCCCACTCGTCTTTCTCTACAGAATTTAAAAAATCAACTCGATACATATTGCAGCTTAACATTGTCACAGCGAATTCGCCGAACAAGAATACTAATTCAACTTTATATGTGAGAATCAATTGAACAGCCCGTGATCAAAGGAGTCACATGATTGCATCAACTGTATTGACAAGATACTATACAATACGTCACATTGAAAACACAAATGAGGCATATAATATCAAGTGTCCCTGAGCTCTATTTGGGAGTTTGGAGGGGAGAGGAAAAGTGAGAAATTTTCCACCTTTTTTGAGAGAGACATTTTTTAGAGAATGATAAATGATAAATACTATGAACTAATCCTATGATTTTGTCAATTACAGCGTACAACATATCAATAAATCATTTCATCTACAAAGGAAGACCTAGGCAATACTAAATACAAGTGATCAACAACAAATCAAATCCAAAAAATAAAAAATAGCAAGCAAGACCCATTCTTCAAACACTCAGCAACTAAACCATATTGAATTTGTTTGAGATTATAATCAATTAGGAATTTCAACAAACAAGTGATGTGCACATTCCAAATATGCAAATTCTTAAAGATAAAAAAGAAAACAAGTAAAAGAAAAACTTTAGAAACTAAAAAGACGCTACGACGATCATAACAGTACTAAATTTTTTGAAGAAGTATAGTAATAAAACTATCATATATATGAAATTAAGAAAGGGAAGAAAGGTTACGAGATGCTGAAAAATTCGGAGATGAAACCGTTGAGAGTGTGCGATAACTGCTAAGGTGGAGAAAAACGGCGACGGTGATTGTAGGAGAGGGAAGGGTGAGGCTGGTGGTGCAGCTAGGGTGTGATTAGGTAAGCAAATTAAATTTTAGGTTGTAAAATAAAGGGAATTACGACGGTTAAAATGGGCTATCCGACTTGATTGGCTTTAATGGACTTGACCAAGTCCAATTATAATATGAGTTTCAAAATTACTATTCGAGTTTAATTTTAAATGAGTTTTAGAGTATTCGATCTTAAACGATTTTTTTAATAAAAATAAAATAAATAATTTATAATATTTATTATAAATAAAATCAAAAATTATATTATTTTGAACATAATATATTTATAAGTATTATATTATCTCTTATAAATACTATAATATATTTTAAAATATAATACATGTTTAAATTATAGAAAATAGTATTCAAATATTTAACAAAAAATAAACTAATATAATAGGAGGAAAAAGTGTTGATTATATTAATGTATAACATTTAAAAGAGAAAGATTGAATAGAATAGAGACAAAATTTAGTGAAATGAAAAAAATTAATATATTATTTTGAAGTAACACAATATAAAAATTAATATAAATTTATAGTTATGCGGGTCTAATGGACTACACACGGCTCATGCGGACTAGCCCTAATGGATAGCGAGCATTTAGAGTTGGGCTAAAAAAACCATTAAAATATGAATTGTAATTTGAAGATCCAAATCCTATGATTTTTCGGATCGGACGGACCGATACATATGAACTAATTCATTTTGACAACTCTAATGCGAACGCACGAGTATCACTATGTTACATACATTTTTTATCAATTATTTATTAATTAATTAAAAAAGATTGTAATTAAGTAAAAGTATGTGAAAATAGTGTTATGGAAATAAAAATAACAATGAAATTGTAAATGAGAAAAAATAATAAAAATAGGCATTAAACTTGATAAGTAAATATTTTAAAATATTTAACTCATGTGAAAATATTAAGAATGTATGTAAATAGGGTTATTAAAATAGATATTGAAAGAAATTTAAATTATTTAATAATTTAATAAAAAGATATGTAATTAAAATGGAAATAAAAGATATAAAAAAAGTTATGATAAAAAAAGGAAAGAATGTATATAATTGGACTAAAAAAATTAAGGAAAAATATTTGAGTTGTAATTATGGAATGGATCAGATCTAGTAAAATATTTAGGAGAGACATACCCAAACTAATTAATGTAAAAAATATGTGAATGTTGAAAGGCTTCATTAATCAAAGATTTTGTGGATTACGATAACAACAACATAAAGGTTTATTTAGGGCATTTAGGGCATTTGAAAGATTTATTTCTTCATTATTCATTGTTGCTTGTTGTATTTAACGTATTATTTTTCATGTCTACCCTGAAACATGTTTTCGCCGTGTTTTCTTGGCAGATCTTTACAAGGGTTGGACGGAAATGATGGCAAGAGGTAAGAAAGCTTTAGTAAAAAATAGCTAAATTTATTTCATTGGAAGCAAATAGGAAAGTCTGAAATTTACGATTAAACAATTTAAGTGTTTTATGGAGATTGAATGCAGGGTAATTAATCGAACAGCCCAAAATCGAAAGGGGGAAAGGGTTGCATCTGTTAGAAAGTGTGTCTGCCGTGAATTTGTAGTTATCAAGTACAAACTGAACCACATGTACTTTCTTTAGACAAAGGAAATCAAATGTGGGAAGATATCTAGCAAAATTGTTTTTGTAATTATAGTAACATTTGAAATCATTGTTAGAAGTCATAATATGTGTATTTATATTATGGAATATGTGTTATGTGCGGCAATTTCCGCAGGAAATAATCATTAACTGTCTACATATGGGTCAGAGACGTATTGAGTTACGTGATTCTAATACAAAGAAGATCTACGACTGTGAACTTTATTATGCAAAAAGAGAGTATTATGTGGAGAGGTTTATTGGGAAGGGCTGGTATGAATTTGTGAAGAGCAGATGTCTCCAAAAAGGCGATAAGCTTGCATTTTGCATTTGGGACCGTCCAGCAAGGAGTCTTGACCCTATAGCACAAAGGATTGTTGTGACAGTGATGAACAGATCAAAATTTGGTTTAAAATGTCTGAAGTTTGATGATGAAAGAAATACATTGGATGGTGGCTGTTGAAATATGGATTATTGTGTTGTTTTGTGTTAAATAAATATGTTGTTATTTTGTAAGGAGTAGCTAATTTGTTTCAACTCTTTTGTTTCAGTTTAAATTAAAATGTATAGTTAACATGGCTATACTTTTGTGAATGTTATTTTTGTAACAACAATGTTTTATGCATAAGCCATTAAACTATAAGTACTATTAAGTGATGTTGTTCTATTACTATACATAACAATATGAATTTTAATGTTATCTATACAATATAATAATGTAAGATGAGTATTTGAGCAAGTTTGCACATGTCAATTTTATAGATCCCATGCTATTTTTGTTTTTCCTATTAATAGAAAAGTTTCTATAACTATCTTTATTTATTTTATCATTTAATTAATTATTTAATTATTTTTTATTAATATTAATAATATTTGATTGATTCATATGTGTCTTGAAAACAAACAAAAATTATTCACCTACATTTTTTTTCGTGATACATAAATAATTATTTGGGAAAGACCAAACAACCAAACTATTATTTAATTATAATTGTTATTTAATTAATTATAATTGATAAAAGTTTAATTTATAGTGGATCACGTTTTAGATTTTAAGACTGCTTGGGACATGAGAAAATTTCCAGTCACATTCCTTATCTCTTCCACCAATTTCCGTGATAAGTTTCTATCGCTTCACATTCCAAAATTATTGGAACACGCATGTTTTCACTGCCGGTTCACTTTCAATGTCATCATAAATTTCTCTTCTCCCAATTTGATTCATCTCATCTTCAATGTCATCTATTCAATTTTCTAGTTAATCAATTAAAGTTTTTGTTGATTTCTAATGATTTCAATAATATAGATATGATCAATTTCTTCACCAATTTCACACTGCTTTCGACTTAGGAGTATGTAAAATCAATGGCTTAGCATTCTCATTTGATTTTATAATTGTAACCGCAGCCGCCGTGAAAACCTTAATTGAAGCCCATTCTTAATACCTATAAATATTCCAACCACAAATCCTCTTCACATCCCTAGTTGTCAAGCAGCCGCATGATTTCAATACATCTTAGTCCTTTCGATTCCAATCTTACTTCATGTCGATGCTGTTTTTCTCCTTCTGCAACTCTTCACTTTTTAAATCCTGCATATTAAATTATCAAATATTTTTTGAATCATCAAAAACGTTCTTTGTTACAGCTTTTTAAATTGTTGAAACAATGGATATGATGATAGTATTTGTCGCCTCATTCTTGATTTGCACTTTAAAGTGTAACATGGTGAGTGACTTATTATTTGATCCTCTTACTTTATCCTACATCAATTTTGAATCCATTTTAATTTTATTTGTTATTAACACTTTGCATTAGGATATGAAAATAAAATCTTTTAATGTGACATCTAGTCTTACTGTGAATTTCATTTTGATCGGAGATTCAACTATGCATCATGGTGGCAAAGGTGCTCATAGAAAGTGTGTGATCATGACAATCGAACTGATATCATCACATTAGAGGTGCAGTGGTTGAGAGACAGGGGCGAAGGCTGCATCGTGGAAGTACTTTTGTTGGAGAATGGTCGAAAACGTGGTGGCTAATGATGAGCGTTTTAGACGATGTGATCGATCTAGAAGGGGGATTGAATAGATCGTTTAAAATAATTTGCGCTTTTTAAAATTGTTTTTCAGAAATATATGCGAAAGCTTT